GAGGGAGGTTCTTCCAAACCTCCCTCAGAGAAGGGTAAACATTAAAAGACGAAGGAGTGCCTTCAAAGAATAACAGTGACAATAATACAAAATTTACTGAGGGCCTTCATTGTCGCATCCAATAGCCTTCAAACGACTCACTTAATTAAGCCTAGATCAATTGGTCGCTTTTAAGCACAAGGGGGCTATCCCGAAAAATACTGTTTTGAGAAGACCGAAGGTAAAGTTTTCACATCTTATCCAGTTTCCCTAAAAGACAAGGAGAGTTTTCTCTACAACCAAACAAACATACACATCAGTGAAACCAAACTTCTCCTATAGGTGGGGGCAATGCCCACTTTTGGTGCAGGTAAAGACTTCTGGAAATCCCCGAAATCTGGGTTAGCCCGCTTGTCCTTAAAAGCTACCAATTAGCGAAGACAGTCTAGCATTTGTTCCTGTTGCTTTTTTATGATCTTTGCCAAATTTTTCTGTTAAAAAAGGTGTGTTTGTTGGTTTGTTTTTCCTTTCAAAGAAAAAAAAAAAGAAAAACAAGCGAAAAAGGCACTGTCATTTATCACGAAGCCAAAACCATAACAGCCGTCCTTCATAATTCGTTCAAGCGAAAATTAATTGACGTAGACACCACTGGGTTCAGAATCTTCGCTAACAACTCCATTCATTATTTGGAGGGGGAGCGGGGAAAACAACCCTTCTTGTGTTTACTCGGGAATTCGGAACAAGCCAAACAATACATCAAAACACCAGAGAGGGAAGGGGGGGGGGGAGAAAATAGAATCGTTTATCTAAAATATCTAAAATAGAAAGCAAAGCAATAAAATATGACACACAAAAATGGCACTTTGTAGGAGAGAGCCCAGCAGGACTTCCCGGAGTGGCTTGCCGCGTCTTACAACGCCCCTTGCCTGCAGAGGCTCCGCGGGACTCTATTGACACTACGAGCAAATCGGCCGCTTTGAAGTGAAAACAAAAACAAAAACAACAAAAAGAAATAAAACAAAAACAACTCAAAA